GTGGCAAAGAGATAAGCGTCCACCAATAGCTCCAAGGAAGCAGCTGTTTGCTGGGAGATAAGAAGGCGGACTAACAACAGATCCTATTAGGAGCTTCTCTGCCTCTCTCTCTCTCTCTTTCTCTCTCCTGTAGATTTTACAGCACATCCTGCCTTTTCCCCCTTATTTTCATTCCTGGCTGCATTAAAACAGGGAGATCAGGTATTTTCAAAGAAAGGGGCCCTTAAAAATAGGAGGCAGAGAGGGGGGTGGAATTCCAGAATGGCAAGGTCTTCTTTTCCCCTCTCCAAACGTCTCTAAGGTTTGTGCCATTTTTATATCCGGATTTCTCATTTTCGGCAACCACCCAGCTGCCCTGGCATCCGATTCAAAGCCAAAGTTGGCTTGATAAACAGAAAGATACAGAGAAACTGGCTGGAGGTTTAGCGAAACCCTGACCGTGTCTGACAGCTTGTGGTAGCCGACGTGAGCTGATGGGAATGCAAAACGCTGTCTGTCAAAAGCCAAGGTGGATGCCCGCTTTGCCAACCTTTTGTAGAAGGTCTTGGTCAATGGCATTACCCTCCGCCTGAAGAGCAAGAGACAAGGAATAAGAATGTGGCTGCAGATGAACAGAAAACGGATGCTTGGCCCGAAGAGCAGGCCCTCTTCGTGTCTCAGATATTTTGTAAGCTTCCTGTCGGACAACAATGCCTCTGTCTTTGTGGTGTTGGTCAAGTGGAGAACGTTATCCATAAGGTCAGGGTTTACCAACCTGGGCAACTTTAAGATAGTTGGACTTCAACCCCCAGAATCCCCCAGTCTGCTGGTTTTCATGCCTAAAGTGGGACTAGAACTCCCCATCTCCTGCTTTCTAGCCTGGTGCCATAACCATTAAAGCATGCTGGCTTATGTGTTGTGTCTTACTCCCAGAAAGCACGACTACAAAGCCAGCTGCTTAAACATCTGGGTTAACCCAGCTGTGGTCAAAATCCAGCCTTGGAGCGAGCTACCTCATAGGATGCTCTCCACGGTGCTGAAAACCAACTCGTTTTAATTACGGTATCCTTTTTTGCTGTGTAAATATTAATGCGTTGATTTTTAAAAAACACAGGTATGTTGCAAGGCAACTTTCAAGCCACTCACCCCCTTCCCTCAAAGTAGCCCTCAGCAATCAGGTGCAGGCAATTAAAGCACATTATAATCAAACGTGATCACAGCCCATTGATCACCAACATTAAAATTCCAAACCACAATACTCACATCTGAGGCAATTACGGCTGAACTACATTTTATGGAAATGGAACAAATAAATTGGGCATTAAGGTTTCCTTCAAAGCTGGGTAATGATCAGGTCTGGGTAATTCATATGTTCACGAAAACCCTCCATCCCTCCGATTCGAGCCCAGAGAAGTGTTCAAAAAAAGAATCTATGAGGACTTGTGTGAGACTGTTTACTCAGAGAGTGAATTTAGACTAACGGCAAAGGCACCAGGGTTGAAACCAGGAAATTGAGAGTTCTAGTCCTGTCTTAGGACTAGAAAGTCAATGGGGTGACTTTGGACCAACCACCAGGAGATGGTGAGTTCTAGTCCTGCCTTAGGCATGAAAGCCAGCTGGGTTACTTTGGACCAATCACCAGGAGACGGTGAATTCTAGTCCTGCCTTAGGCATGAAAGCTGACTGGGTGACCTTGGGACAGTCACATTCACTCTACCCAACCCTCCTCACTTTGTCACTGTGGGGAAAATAGGAGGAGGAAGGAACATTAGGTATGCTCACTGCCTTGAGTTATTTATCAAAAAGAAAGGTGGGGTTTAAATAATAAATAAGTAATTAAAAATGTCTGGATTCACATAACTATCTAAATCCAACTGTGGTCAAGATTATACTAAACCCTTCAAGGCTTAGCTTATTTCTTCTGTGATTTTACATAAGACTCTCATGGTTTTATTCGATCTGTAAAATAATCTACAGTTTTCTGTGTTTGTACCTGAGAATAAGCCAAAAGTCAGCAAGTCCCATTATTTGTGCAGACCCAGCCCGTGTGTAGGAGTCTTTCAAAGGCTAGCCTCTTCTCTGGAGAGAGTGAATATTTATTCTCATTTCTGTAGTGGTGAACCCAGCATATTTTTTTTATATCCCAACTGACACATTATTTGTCTCCAAGAATGATTGCTTTTGATGGATTTTTTTCCCCATCCACTTCTGAAATACCCGTGTAACCTTACAAAGTCTCTGGTATTGTGTCACTTTTATAATATTCGCTCAAGGCCTGGAAAGCTTTAAAAGCTTTTTAAACCAGAAGCACTGTAAACACATCAGGAAGAAGAGAAACAACCAAAAAAAAAAAAAAAAGGACCTTGGAATAAGAAAAAGTCTAAGGAATAAAGCACAATCTTTTCTCTCCTCTTTTTAGGTTCAGGGCTCAAGGAGATAACCCTGGGCTTCTGCCCAATCCCAAGGATTATTTTGCTAAATGTAAATAGCAAAAATGCTAATAACACTGGCATGATTTTCTCCAAATAGCTCATTCCATTCCAAGATGTTTTGTGCGCCCATTTAATATTTTGTTTAAAGAAAAAGAAAAAAGAGAGAGAGAAATAGAGGAGATAGTTCAACCCATCAGCCCCCAAGTCATTCCCATGAATGATTTCATAATATCCACATCTTAAGCTCCTAAGGAAAGCAAAAACTGTTTGCAAAATCAGCCCAGCGATGGGTGGCATGCCATTATTCATTTTGAGCATCTTAGCAGGAGCTCCTTTACCCCATGCAAAACTGAGCTGCAGTCCCACGATAAAACAAAGCCCGTAGACGCAGGAGATGCATCCTAGGAATAGCATGAAAGCTTTAAATATTTAATAGCTTCTGGATCCCTGGCTCGCATCTCTCTAATCTGAGGCCTCAGATGGCAGAAAAGAGCAAAATAGGTCCATCTGTCTCTTTCTGGACTTCACTCAAATGAAATCACTGGGCTGTAGCCTTGAAGCTGGCCATTAATAACCCCGACAGCTGGTAATGAAGGTGTGACTTAAACAGGACCTTCCTGACCACCCAAACATCTCAATGTAGGCTTCTCAGCTCCTTATCACAGCAGGCTGAGGACTGGCCTTCAACTATGGGCTTTGGGAAGGTGGTTTGTGTTTGCAGTGTTTATTTTGTTGGCGCTTTTCATATTGCCATCAAGGAAACTACACAGAGGTATGCATGTTGTCCTTAGGAGGCAAGTGTGATCAGACACGAAGAAATATTAGATCATCAGGGAAAATTAAAAACAAGCCAGGAATGAAAAGAGCAAAGGTATAATCATAGACTGGTGGCCATATCTCCAGCTGCAAACCAGATACAAAAAAAGATGTAGAAGAATTTGGAATTCATACTGAGCTACAACCATTAGATAAAATTCTCATAGGCCCCGAGAAGCAATTTATAACAAGGATGTATAATTATCTATTAAAATTTGCTTTGGAAGAGGAAGTAGTAAAAGGTTGCATGATAGCATGGGCAAAAAAAATATTGGATATAATATAGACTTAGCGGATGGGGGGGGGAATTCGGGAAGGTTTTCTGCCTCCGTTTTGGGGTCAGGTATTAAGTGATATCAAAGGACGATGGCTGGATATTATCAAAGCTGACCTTAGCCAGAGCACAGAACAATACAAAGAAGCAGTGGAAGAGTTGGCCCATAGAGTTGTCTAGAGTCGGACACGGCTGAATGGATAACATCATCCTCATTAAGTGACCTTCACTGAGCTCGGCTTGGGCATCCAACATCTCTAGAAGATTGACATCAGGGAAAGCTCTTCTCAAGGACAAACATACCATGACCATCAATGGAAAGGTCTAATGACTTTGGAGACCAGAAGCTAGAGAAGATGGAACTGCACGATGAAAAAAGCAGATGGGGAAATCCTCCCTGATTGTTTTCCCTACAGCTGAAATAATGATCTGTCCCTTATCATCTTTTAGCCACACACCCCCCCCCAAAACAAGGAAACAGCCCCCCAAAAGTTAACGTCAATAAGTGACATTCAACCATGGCTTGTTCAATAAAACTTTATCGAAGCAAAAAACAACCGGTGGGGTGTGCAGAACAGTCCAAATCTGAACCCACGTTTTACAAACCAGGATTTACAGACCCTGCCGAGCCCAAACCAAAGAAAACATGGGCACTTCTCACAATGTGTGAATCTCCTCTTGTGTCAAACCAGGGTTTATTTTTTTCCTATTGAGAAACAGCCTAAAAAAATCCTTTAGAGAACATTGTATTGGTGTACAATATACTGTATATTGTATTGCGTCAAGTACAATGTAGTCATGCACCTTTCCGCTGGAACAAGGAGTAATGTATTTCCTAGGTATTCCGCAAAATGTTTTCCCCTCTTACAGCAATTAAAATACGCTCCTTCGCATAAGCTCTTAGCAGATGTGCTACTTATGGCTCTTGAGCATTTGGTGCCTCCAGTGCCTCCTTCTTTAGCCAGTCTGTCATTCCGCTGGGGGCATCTACAAAAAACAGTCTCTTTTCCCCTTCCATTCTGCCCTCCATCTCAATTCGATCTCACCTCCAAGGGTCACCTAAATTTGGCTTTCTTCACCATCCAAATCAAAGTAGCATAACTCCCATGCGTTTCTCAATCACTCACACCACCAAGTCAACACCAGGGGAAAACATCACAGTTGAATCAAGCCATGTTTTCCTTGTACCCATGCTGGAACAGGGGGTTGGGCTAGAAGACCTCCAAGGTCCCTTCCAATTCCATTATTCCATCTGCAAGTCCAGGGCAAGCACAAGTGACATCCACTCTACTGCAAGCCTGCCTTTCTCTTTCCAAAGCGTCTCTAAATGCAAATGGCAAACTCAACCAGTCTTCCCGAATTATAGCTTGGATTATTATTTATTTTTCCCTCACGTTTCCCCGAAGGCTGAAGGGACACACGAAGTGCACCACCGGTGTACAAAACCCACAAGTCATGAACCCTCCCCGAGTTCTTGGTTTGGGGACTGTAGGGTTGGGCTAGTCCTCTTCTTGGGGCTCAGGCAACCTTCTCTTAGTTGCCTTGGGGGAGATGCTACTCTCAGCCCAGAGGCTAGCCGGAGGGCTGGGGGCTTGGTAGCCCATTTGGTTGGGGTCCACCAAGTCCTTGGACAAGAGGATGCAGACGGAGGGCACGTTCTTGTGGACGGTGAGGTGTTCCGGAGGCCCTTCCGACCGGGGTCCTTGGTTCTCCCACACTTCCACCAAGGTCCGGTACTGGAGCTTGGTGACCTGGTGGAGGCCTCCCAGCCTCCTCTTCATGATCTCCACGCAGGTGATGGTTTTGGTGACCGCCCGCCCGCAGCCACTGAAGACGATCTGCCGGATCTCCTCTTTCTCCATCCTGGCCATGGCGAAGCCCATCAAGTTCCGGATTTTGCTGCCTTCCTTCACCTTCATCTCCACCACGTGGGGCTGCAGGTCCGGGAAAGGCGAAGGGCCGCCTTGCTCGGAGGTCTTCACCTTCCTGAAGTTCTCCATCCTGGACTGGGCGGCCGGGGGTTCAACGGGGAGGAAGGCAGCGGCGGCGGCGGCGGCGGCCTCGGCGGCTCCAGAACTCATCCCCTCGGTCGTCTGAGGCGCCTCGGTCAGGGACGAGGTGCGTCCCGGCTCGAGGTCTCCCAGCTGCATCTCCGACTCGCTTGAAGACCCAACCCGCCCAAGACTTGGCGGGTGCGGGGAGTGGAGGGCGAGACTCACCGGGAAGCGTCCCGAAGCTCTGGAAATCTCCGGGGAAGGCGGTGGGGAGCCCGACTTGCCGCCCGATGCGTCTCCCCGGCCGGTTGCGCCTTCCGCAGCCTTCTCGCCTGCATCCTGGACCGACTTGGGTTCCTCGAACCGTCCGTCCCCCCCCCC